TTGGATTCGCTTAATAGTTAAACTCTGTTAAATTGAAAAAAAGCTGTCCAATAGCATCTTGATCCTTCTCCTGCCTCTTCCAGTTGGAGGTCAAGTTGCTCAATCTGACCGACAAGGCGAACGAGTCAGAGTCCCGACGGCGCCAACTGCAGGACACTGTGGACTCCCTGAACTCCGAGGTCGCAATGATGCGGGCCAATGAGCAGCTGTTGTCGGGCGCCGGGGCCTCCAACCAACAGATTCTGGCCGGTCAGTCCGAAATCCGCGAGAAGTTGGACGAGGAATTCAAGCGCCAGAGTGAACAGTATGCCCACCAGACGAAACAACTACGTGCCGAACTGGACGCCAGGGACAAACGCAATGAGGAGCTGAAAGAGTGCGTTATCTACTTCTTTTTTTCAAATTTCGTGTACCGCTTGCTTACCTTGATTTTGAGGCAATTCGTACACCGAAGTAAACTGTTCTTCTTCCATAAGGTTTGATGCTGATATGATAGACTCCAAACGTGCCCAGACTTCAAGTAATTTAAATTGGACGGTTTGTATCTCATTCCTTGGGAAAGCACATTCTTTTCCTTGTGTTGCGAGAACTCTCGGGGGGACAGATTGAAGACCTTCTGTGAACACTTATGGTCTGTATAAGTTTGTTGAAAAGTTTTCATCTATCTTCTCTTTAAAATACTCCTTTCCTTTTGTCGTTCGAGTTCAAAAACATGTGTAAATAAAACTTTTAGGGATTCATGTAAATGTAAGGAAAGCTGATCTCGCCCAAACGGCCTGTATTTTTTCCTTAAAAACTTGAAACTTTTGCGTAATGGAAAAGAAGACAACGAATCAAAACAGATTGATACAGACGTCGGCCGCTTATTGGTGCAAACACCAGGGAAGAATCCTTTTTTTAAGTGCGCCTAACTTGTTAACTCTTTTCGGCACACTTGCTTAGTATGAAGAATGTGTTTGAACTCGTCAACGGAAACCCAAGGAGACATAACATTCGAGTGGCTAACAAACCGAACTACTGGATTACATATCGCGCTTGTAAACCTTGAGTTGTCTATAGGATTTGGCGCAGTTGCGGACAAAGTAACTACGTTGGAAGATCTGAAAGACTGCTGAAGACGCGAATTACCGAACACGTGGTGGCAATGCGGAGAAATTGCCTCACTTCTCAAGTTGCGGCTCAGTCGACGAGACCCGGCCACACATTCCAAGTTGCCGAGGCCGAAATTCTCGCGAAAGTTGACAATATTGTGAGCCGCGAGTTGCTTGAGCCATGGTTCACGAGCCCCCGGTCTATCAATAAATGCATTGACCTGCCCTATCCATACTCGATGCTAAAGCTCAGTTTGGCCAATGCGATTCGCCTCTCGGACAGCGCACAGGCGAACGCGTCTTCTACCGCCACGGCCAGGGAAGCAAGCGGCCGAGCAATCATTCCGTTTAAGTACAGCACGGGTGATGAAAGTTCACCCGGCCATGAAGCGATTAGCACACAAACGGGCGACTATCCTCGATAGAGGGAAGCCGTTACCTGTCATAAGTATGCAGTAACATAGTGGCTGTATCCTATAAACATTGCAACTCTCTGTGTATGAATTACCCGTTTCTGTTGTTGGATCTACGACGGATTTCGAAACGTCAGGCGAATAAAGATTTTACCCCAGCGATCGCATTTGCTTCTTCTTAACTGTTTCAGTAGAAAAAAATTCGTCGGCAAAATTTCATGTGATTCCCGCGATTCAGTTTATTTTGTAGTGAAGTTGAAAAGTCCGCCTCTACACGCATTCGCAAACATCGGTTGGCAGTAAACAGGTTCGACCACCTTTCCCAAGTGGTTATTCCTACCCTCGATACCAGGCACGCTCTAGCTTGGGGCAAAGCTCGCATTATCGAAGAAGGCCGAGAGTTCCGCGAGGTCATGCATCAATTGACTGGGTGCCTTCATCTTAAGACGGAATGGGCGAGTTGGTAGCCAATGAGATACTAGTATTGCAGTTACCGCTTATTGGTACAAACGCCAGAGGAGTATAACTTAATACACTTACCATACTAATCGTGTATTTTTACATTTACTTTTTATGACACCGACGATTTGCGAATTAATGTTTGTTGCCTTTCTAAGCAGTTTTTTTTCTGACTTCAACGTATATGTACGTAATGGTTAAATTTATTAAGTTCCTTCCTGCGCCCAGTTCTCTATCGCCCTGCTTTCATGCCTCACTTTTTTCATATTTCCCAGTGAGAACAGCCGGCTCACCTTCCAAATGGAGAAGGTCTCGGAGGAGAATAAAAACCTTCGTGAACAACTGGAATCAACTTTCAGTCGACTAGAAATTCTGGAGAAGGAACAGGTGAAGAGCGACCAGGCCAAACAGGATCTGCGCGGCCTAGAGGAGACCATCGCCAAAGAGCTGAACAGCCTGACGACACTGCGTCATCTGTTTCTACAGAATTTGCGGAACCGAGTCAAAAAGGTGTGTGCTGCTTTCTACATCATATTATCACTAGTTCTCGACCGACTTGGTTGCTAGCTATGTCAACCGTTGCGCTCTGACCGAACCAGACAGTGGCTAAGGCCTGGACAGGGGAATAGAGAGTAAGGTCGGCGACTCAGGGCATTTTCCTCACTATAAATACTCTGACGTGCTTGCAGTGATCAGGGGGTGCTTAACGCCGTAGCTTGGTAGGTTGCTAACTTACTGACCGCGCAGTCAATCCAGTGTTTTGGGGTAGACTATGTTGTACATTTAGCCAAAGCCGAGATGTCACCGCTTAATTACGCCTTGTGTGCGTCCCCAGGGAAAAACACGACAGGAAGAGCGCAAAATGCAGAAGTCTTTTAGCGTAATTAGTACAACAAATTTAAGGTAAATAACGCGTGTACAGCCATGA